CCAACACCGACCGGGCTGCCACCCACCACTGATGAACCCCCCAGCACTGGTGTGTCCGATGAATGGAGAACGGACAAAATTGAACGCCGTTGATCCCGTTCAACGGGCCCGGGTAACCCCGTTGAATCCTGTTTAACGCAAAAACGGGGGTGTCCCATTGAATTTTGAAAAACGGAACCGGCACGTTGGGCCTCGGACATGTGCCCCTACGCGCCCAAACACTAAAAACGGGAAAAAAAAAAAAAAAAAACATCCCCTATTAACAGGGTGGGGTGGCCAAACATGCCCCTCCCTTTCGAAAATCAAACTGCAAGAGGGAAAAAGATGCGGCCACCCCATACCCCAACACTGTTGAGCACATGTGTGTGCACGTGGGTGCATGTCGTTTTTTTTTTTTTTTACCAAATGCTCCAATCTATTCGTCCAGTCTCATTTCCGAAGGGCCCCTACATATTCGCAAGGACCCCTCGTGGAGTAGAGATGGACATTGGACTTGTAATCTGTTTGCGTGGGCCGAGAATATATAGTCTGGATTCGAAGTCAGGTCTGTGCATCACACTGATCACAATTATGGGTCACTAATTCTCTGTTTTCTCGTTTTTCTTTTGTTTTCTCGTTTTTCTTTTCTTAGGAATACGTGCAGTGGCCCTAAGTTATACACATCTAGATGTGTATAAGAGACAGGTGTGTGCGCCATCAAGCGGGCCATGCAAGCAGTACATGTGTGCACTGTTTGTATCAACACTATGTGGCAGGGTGCACCTGACAGGAAAATGGCTGCTAGGTATCCAGAAGAGTGCCAAACCGGTTCATTATTGGGCAAAGAAGCATGGTAGGTGGAGGCGTGGAGTTGACATGTGCATGGGGCTAACGTGCATCTGAACTTTCGTTACGGCCTGGATCTTTTCTGTGCCAATAGGCAGGTGCTGCACCTCCCACATGCTTGGGGACCACAGTTGTTAAGCTCGCCAGCAAACATAACTCTCGGGTGTGAAAATTTGGAAAGTGTGGGGTGGTGGTGGTGGTGGTATGCTCACAGTACTTTAGGCATTGGTGAATTGCGATGCTTGATGTGGGACCCTTCGTTGCTGAATTGTGACACTTGATGTGAAGCGTAACACTGGCCCATCAGCGGTGTAGAGCTCAGCATGTTTGATCCATGCACAAGTTTCGGTTTGCTCGCGTGGCAGAAGTGCAGTGTGTGTTGATATTTCCAGAGGTGTTTGCATTACATGCCCGACTTGTCAGCATGAGTATTGTGGGACTGTGTGTCTTTTTAATGGAGAACGGGGGAATTAAACTCCCGTTGAATCCCGTTGAAAGTTGAAACTGAAGAAATCCCCTTGACTTCCCGTTAAACGCGAAAATGGGCCGCTGCCGCGCTTTTCGGAAAAACGGAATTGATGTGCAGGGTCCGGAACACGTGGACCTAGGCACCTGTGCACTCAACCCCCCACCCCCCCCCCCCAAAACAAAAAAAAACATTTCCCCAAACCCCTGAAGCACCTCTTATACCACCGAATTAGACCAACACCGACCAGCCTATCACCCACCACTGACCAACCCCCCGGCACCAGTGCCCAAACCTACCTGGAAGCCCTCTAATTCATCTGCCCCCACATCCCCCAACCCCCAAGGCCCCAGTTATGTGTGCGCAGGTGTGCTGTATGTGTGCGTATGTGTGTATGTGTGTGC